TTTTTTTTTTTAAGAGTATTGTTTCTAATATTATTTTTTCCTACAGAAATAATTTTTTAGTGATGGCAACTACGAGCAGCGTTTAGCTAAGATAAAGGAGATTGAGTATATTGACGCTAAATTTGGATATCGGGTTTGCAAAGATTCTGTAGAGCGTGATGCGTGGCTTCTTAATGTACAATCTGTATGTTTTTTTTAGCTGTAGTTTCTTGAACTATAATTAATTGATGAATTATAATTAATTTTGAAACCTTTTTATTGTATCGTAATACCTTACCATTTGTGACTGCATTTTAGGGTGAAGCCGTTGATGAGCAAACAAAGGTGATACATGCCGTATGTGACTTTTACTTTCTTCAGAACAATGGAGAACGCTTTAAAGTCAGTGTATTTTACGTTTTTACGGTCTTTCAGTGTAACATTTTGTTTTTATTAATATCTTTTTTTAAGTTGACCACTTGAATCTTAAGTATTAATTTTATGGTGGTAAGGTAGTTAGAGCGTTTTATTTATTTGTTTTTTTTTCGTAAAAAGAGTAATTGTTATGATAAGTTCAGATATCATATCCGTTCCGACCATATCTTTATCTTGGGACTCTCCCCTCTTGGGAAATTCAAGTTTCTAATTACTTAAAGAAAAAGTATTCTGGAATTATTACAACTGAAATAATCGAGAAAGAGGACCTTGATCTAGTTAGTTCAATTGACCTATTTCTGTAAAAAAAATTTTGTTTTTAACTTTATATTTCTCAAGACCACTAAGAATAAAAGTTCTGTTTTCAGAGGAACCACTTATCTGGGTTGAAGAAGGAGTATGTTAAGATTTCGTTTCCAAGTATGAATGAACTCATGAAGTTTAAAAGGGAAGTGACACCACAGTTAAGGCGAAATCAGGAGAGGGAAAAAGATAGTTCATCTTACACATCACTTCTTGCAAAGTATATTTTTGAATCTTCATGAACCAGTGTGGATTTATTGACTGTTTAAAGTTTTAATATAATTTGAGCTATTTACATTCAAGGCATTTCGGATCCGACGTTGGCAAAGATGATGATGGGGAAGCACCTGAAAAAATCATTGATATGAGGTACTGGTGTATTTTCCTTATACTTCTTCTAAGGCTTAACTTTTGGATCATGTTTTATTATTGGCATAAGTAAAGAGGAGTACTAGTTACGCTGGTTTTTCTCTTTAATTATTTTGGACAGTTATCTTAATTTAGGGAGCATGATTTGACATATCATATGCGTGTGTGTATAGACAAGAAATTTTTTGTGGGATTGTGGTATAAAGTTATCGGCAGGGGTCCGGATTGTTTACCTTCTATAAAGCGCCATCCAACTTTAATTGATCCTCCTGAACCTGTAAGTTTTTTTCTTCTGAAACGCTTCGTACCTGGTCATTTTGTAATGATGACTTATTTGAGTGACTTATAAGTGCTTACTACAGAGAAGGCTACACGTTTTTTTTGGATAAGACTTTTCAGTTTTGAAAGCTGATGGAACGTGTAGGTCTTATAGACCATTTACAAAACCACAAATTGAAATAGAAGGGGAACTGTTAAATATGATTGGAATTTTGAATTGCTTAGAAGTTATTTTAGTTTTATATCTATCAGTTCGCTTCCTATATTGATAAACTATTTTGGTAATTTTACTTTTATTTGAGTAATGGAAGGTAAAAAATTGCTTAATTCAAAAGTTATTATAGGATGGGGCAACGTAAAACTTAATTTATGGTCATTGATTTTCTCTTTTTTATCAATGTTTTCTTAAACTGCACTTTTAATTTGCCAAATAAGCAGGTGGTGTTGGCGTACGATATTGAAGTAACAAAACTTCCTCTGAAATTTCCTGATTCCACAGTTGATGAAATTATGATGATTTCATACATGATTGATGGAGAGGGTTTTCTTATAATTAACCGTCAGATCGTTTCTGAGGATATTGAAGATTTTGAATATACGCCGAAACCTGAGTTTCCAGTGCGTCTTGTCAAGAGTTTTCGTAATGAGATGATTTTCTTTCATTTTCATATTTTTTCTTTGCTGTTGAAATACCTTCTTATGACTTTTGACAACTTATTCAAATTTTTGCAAACAGGGAAAATTTCAAATATTTAATGAAGAAGATGAGGCTGCAGTCATAAAATGCTTCTTTGATCATATTCTTCGAGTTCGCCCGTCGATTTTTGTGACGTATAACGGCGACTCTTTCGACTGGTTAGCAGTTTTTCTTGTATTTCTAGGATAGATTGCCGTTTACGATTAGTTATTTGGTAATTATGAGGCAGCGGTTATTTTTTCTCATGCATTATAGAAGTTTTTTTGAATTTTATTTCAAGGCCTTTTGTGGAAACTCGGGCGACTTTTCATGGCCTTGAAATGTACAGGGAAATTGGCTTTTCTAAGGATGCAAACGGCGAATACAAGAGTTCAAATGCTGTACATATGGATGCTTTCAGGTAAATCTTTTTTCTTCTAAACAATGAAGGCATCTTTTTTATTGCAGATGGGTAAAGAGGGATAGCTATCTGCCGGTGGGAAGCCAGAATTTAAAGGCATGCACTAAGGCTAAGCTTCGATATGATCCTATAGAACTGGATCCTGAGAAAATGTGCCCTATGGCTAAAGAACAACCTCAGGTTGTTTGACTGATCGCTGTGTATTAATTTTCCTTCTACTAATAATTCTCGTGTTTTCAAAACTTTTCTTTAGCGATTTTTTGAAGTACACTAAAATATTTTGAGGTATTGGCTAATTATTCAGTCTCTGATGCTGTAGCAACATACTACTTGTATATGAAATATGTGCATCCTTTTGTATTTGCGCTATGCACTATTATACCCCTCGGGCCGGATGATGTAAGTTTCAGCAATTCAATAGTATTTTTTCATTCCATTTCGTTTTTCTGATTTAGAAAACTCTCAATTCTACGCAAAAGTTTAGGTTTTGAGAAAAGGTTCAGGCACTTTGTGCGAGGCGCTCTTAATGGTGGAGGCCTTTCATAGTAACATTATTTTCCCAAACAAACAGATTCAGTCCAGCGGTAAGTTTACATTAGATGGACATATGATCGAGAGCGAGACTTATGTTGGAGGACACGTTGAATCACTCGAATCGGGAGTGTTTAGGGCGGATCTTCCAGAAAGGTATAATAATATTTTTTATGAAGGCGGATCTTTCTTTAACAATTTTCAGATTTCGCATCGTTCCTTCCGCAATATTTGAGTTGCAGAAAACTGTGAAGAAAGCTTTAGGCAATGCTTTGGCAGAGGAAATGCATATAAGTTTAGAAGACGTTGTAGAATTTGATGCAGTTTGTGAAAAGGTTTCTCTTTGTTTCGCAGATATATTGGGTTCAAATTTAGTTCTGTTGTGATGTGCTATTTCTTTAGTCTTCAAGCGGGCTGTTTTGTTAAGGTGAAGGACCAGCTCAGTGACTTTGTCAGACGACCGTTTCGTTTGGAGAACCCAAAGATTTACCACCTTGATGTTGGCGCTATGTATCCTAATATTATATTGACAAACAGACTACAGGTGGTGATTAACATTTTCTGGTATTCCTCATACGTAGTCGCTGCAGTTGGTCGATAGTAACTTGACATCAATTTGAACTTCTCAGTACAATTGGTTACCCTTTTGCAGCCTGCTGCAGTGGTAAAAGAGGACGATTGTGTGGCATGCGCCTACAATTCACCAGATGCAAGGTGTCGACGTATAATGAAATGGGAATGGCGTGGTGAAATATGTATGCATTGTGAAAGCTAAATTAGAGAAAAATGTTGTTTTGAAGATCCCATTCAGCGCAAATTGCTTCTGAAGTGGCTTTAAACTTTGGAATATTGATGCTCCTCTATAAGTAAGCTGCTAGTTTTCAACAACACAAATTTCACGGAATTTTAATTGGTGAATATCTAGTGCCTGCTACTAAAGGCGAGTATGAAAGAATTCTGCAGCAGTTGGAAAATGAAACGTTTGGTAAACCTCCAAAACCTTTCCACACGCTCTCAAGAGACCTAAGGGCTCAAACCGAGAAGAAACGTGTCCAAGGTTGGTGCTTTTCTCTCTTGCCATGGTGTTTTGAAACTGCCATTTGTAAAAATTATTTATAGATTTCTGTAAACGTGCTTATGGGAAATATCATGTTTCTCGAACCGAGATTCGAGAAACGGCGATATGTGAACGAGAACATGGGTTTTATGTCAACACTGTGAGAGCTTTTCGCGATAGACGGTACGAGTACAAAGGGCTCCTCAAGGTTTTTTAGTGTATTTTTCTTTTTTAGATTATGAATTTTTTTTGTTGGAAAATTTAATTCCTTCTAAAAAGTGAGCATATTGTCATTCTTGTAATTTCATATATAAAGTTTTTTGCAGAAGGCAAAGGCAGCTTTAGAAGCTGTGCCTGAAGATGATATAAACGGTTTAAAAACAGCGAAGGGCCGAGTGGTTCTGTATGACAGTCTTCAATTAGCTCACAAATGCATCTTAAATTCCTTTTATGGTTATGTAATGCGAAAAGGTTTTTCATTATCTTTTTTTGGGAGGTCTTTGCGTGTTGTACATTTTTGTTCTCTAGCGTTTTCTGGCCAGACCTTGTAGCTCATTTCAATGTCATATTGTAATTTTGTCTTTTATTTTTTGTTTTATTTTAGGTTCCAGATGGTTCTCAATGGAAATGGCTGGTATTGTCTGCCACACTGGTGCAAATATTATTACGGAAGCTCGGAAACTTGTAGAGAAGATCGGAAAACCTTTGGAGCTGGATACGGATGGAATATGGTGCCTTATTCCCTCCAGTTTCCCCGAAAATATTGTGTTCAAATTAAAAAGCGGTCCTAAGAAGAAGGTGAGGTTGCCTTGCTCAGGTAGGTTAATGTAATGATGAACATTAAAGTTTACTGCACGTTTAGGTCGTGATTTCTTATCCTGGAGCAATTCTTAATGAACTTGTTCGTGAGAGGTTTACAAATGACCAGTATCATGAGTTGCAATCGGATGGAAGTTACTTAGTAAGATCTGAAAACTCCATATTTTTCGAGGTGGACGGCCCTTATCTGGCTATGATTTTACCGGCATCGAAAGAAGAAGGAAAGAAGCTAAAAAAACGGTGGCAATTTCGCCAAAATAAGTTTTCTAGTGTCATCTGCATCCAAATTTATCCCACTCGGTTTTCTTATGTTAGATTTTTTTTATTTGTTGTCCGTTTACTCCAGATATGCTGTTTTCAATTTTGACAAATCGTTGGCAGAATTGAAAGGTTTTGAGATGAAACGACGTGGAGAACTTGCAATAATTAAATATTTTCAAAACGGAGTTTTCAAAGCATTTTTGGACGGAAGTAATCACAAGGAATGCTATGCAAGTGTCGCCAGAGAAGCTGATCATTGGCTGAGTGTTCTCTTCACCAAGGTTTGAATATTTTATTTTCTCAAAAGTTTGGTTAGCTTAGGAAAAAATAGCCGAAGTATCGAATTACCAGATAATTTAACATTGGGGAGTTTCAAAGTAAAACAAAGAGATGTGCTTACACGAAATCTTGTTTGTTTGACTCTGAGCTTATTAAAAGGAATCTTTCAGGGAGCGGACCTCTCTGATTCAGAGTTGTTTGATCTTATATCAGAAAACCGAAACATGTCAAAAAGGCTTGACGATTACGAGGGGCAGAAGTCGACTTCAATTTCCACAGCAAAGCGTCTTGCTGAGGTAATCGTTTTTCCATCACAAACCCGTCCTCCTAGCTATCTTTCCCTTAATTACTTGATTAAGCAGATGGTTGTCAGACAACTTTTAGTTTCTTGGAGACGATATGGTGAGAGATGCGGGACTGGCCTGTCAGTTCATTATTTCCCGATTTCCTACGGGATCACCTGTAACGGAACGTGCTATTCCAGTTGCCATTTTTCAGGCTTCTCCTGAAATAACTGCCCATTATTTGAAGAAATGGACAAAAGATCCAGATATAAGCAAAGACAATATAAACATCCGTAACGTACGAAGATGTTGTACACATGCCCACTATCCATTCCCGGTTTTTATTTTTCCACTGATCCTACCTTTTCTTCTAGATTATTGATTGGGACTACTATATTGAGCGTGTTGGTGGTACGGTGCAAAAAATTGTTTCGATCCCAGCTGTTTTGCAAAATGTGCCCAACCCTGTACCGAGAATCCCCTTGCCAGATTGGTTAGAAAATAAAAGGAAGCAGAAGGCGAACGATCATTTGCAACCAAAAATAACTGATATTTTCAAAGGTGCGGAAAAAGCGACAGAGAATGACATAGAAGATTTAACAGTGAGAGTGAACAATAGGCCGGTTGAGGAGCCAGTGACAGTTCTAAAAGATACTTCGAATGCTCCTGACCAGGTGATCTCTCGGTTCTAATTTTCCGCTCTCATAATCTCTGTAGCGAGAACTTACATTATTTGTTTTATTTTTGAGGTTGTTCTTCGAAAGCGAGTGAGAAGTGACGATGAAATGAGGAAGGAAGTCGAAGACTTTTCCATCGAAAAACTTGCAAAAAGAGCGAGGCGAGAGACTCTCGAAAAGAAGACTATTATTAAGGATGGAATTAAAGCTTGGATATGGTGAAGTAGCTTCTTGACTTAAATTAGTCAAGATAATTACCTTTCAATTTGTAATTCTTAAGTCTTTTTTTTACAGTTACTTAAAGAAGAAGTGGAAAATTGAATATGAACGAAGACATGAGTCTAAAACTGCTCCTTATCCAAAAAGGATCACCACGTTAGATAACATGGTAGAAATGGGAAGAAAAAATCTTTATGAGAAGCACTGGCAAATACTACAGGTTGCTTTATATTTCTTTTCTTTACCGCATTACATTAATTATTTACTTTTTCTACTAGCATGTTCCCCATACTTGTTTCGTGCTATAGCTTAAATATTTTTTTCTTTTTTTAAGGCCGTGGAGTTGCCAGAGAAAGGATTATTTGCTATCTGGACAATCGTAAATGGTAAAATGTCCAAGTTAATTGTCTGCATTCCACGGATCTTTTATGTAAATGACAGAGGCACAAGTAAGAAGGGGATTTTAGTTAAGAAGTCATTGCCTAGAATGAAACAGGTTCATAATCTCTACAGGTATTCAGTGGACGAATCGCGATTTCAACTGAGCTTGAAGTACGGTCTTTTTATAAGTAACAATTATTTTTAATTCCGTCAGCTTCTGATTGACTTTGAGTTTGTAGCTACTGAAATTATGCATCAACTTGTTTGCAGCGAGTTCAACCGTGAACTATGTGCAACACGTGTTGAAGGTATATATGAAACTCAGCTTCCGTTACATTTCCGAGTTTTGTTGGAACTTGGATGCTGTTGTCACTTCAAAGAGGAATCTCGAAGTGCTTTCAGAACTAGAACAATTCCTTTAGAACATTTACAAATGGTCGTTGCCTAACTTTGACTCCACCTTTTATAATCATTATTCTACCAGAACTTTTTCCTGAGCTTGATTCATTTAGTCCCCTGAAGCAGACTACCTGGTCGAAGGTGCCATTCGCAACTGTTTCTTCTATGAACATCGGCAGGATAATCGCTGTGTTATGGCCATTTTTGACACTGTTGAAAGTGAAGCACTGCTGATTATAGTAAATAAAGTTAAACTCGAGATTCCAAATTTAACGACGATGTATAATAATGAAAAAGAGCGGTTGTAAGTTTTTTCATTTCAACGCTAGGAAACTGTTGTTTTGCCTATGAGTTTTTTCCATTACAGCTGGTCTTGAATTACAGTGATCATTTTCGAACGTTCCTGTAGTTTAGGGATGAAGGTTCCATGTCATTGGTCACTACGCAGAGAATACGTTTCACTGTTCAGCAGTATACGGCAGTGAAGGAAGGTGAAAAGGCTATCAACAAGGTCCCTTCATTTCTTTATTAGAAAAACAGATCTATATTCTTTGAATAATTATTAAAATTTAGTATCTTTTGAAACTACGCCAAAGGGACACGCTACCAGTCTTCATCACTGTCGTCTCTAATGACTCAAATAATGCATTGACGCAACGTTTATCAGCTCTGGGAGAATTTCCCTTAGTGCGAATTCACTGCACAGAACCTTTAGGGTTATTTAACGTTCTTGATTGGCATCGGATTGTTTGCAAAAGGATTATTCAGCATTACCTTAACAGCTTCATTTACTTACGAGTAATAATTTGTTGATTCTTCTGCTTCCTTTTTTTCAAGCATTTTATGTTATTGCTGACTTTAGTCCCCTTTGTCGTTAATTTTAGGACTACATTGATGTTTGCCGATACGTAAGGGTACCCCTGGGTAATTTACCGGCTGATTGGTCAGTTTTTGCTGCTGATCTTCTTTATGCAAGAAGCTTGTGTCGGTCTAGCTTTGTACTGTGGGCTTCACAAACAAATCGCCCCGATTTGGGAGGGAAAGAGTTGGATGACTGCCGTATTGGAGCTGACTGGCAAAAATTACGGATTACAGATCGTCAAAATGTCATTTATAATCAAGAGAGGTAAGGACGAGCTATCCGCAAAGATGAAATAGCTTATCTATTTCATTTTTTAAAATATTGGTTTCTTAGTTTTGAAACAAACGTTTGCGCCGAGATCGAGCTTGGAGCTGTCGCTGTAACAGCTATCATTCAGAGTGGGAGAATAATAGAGGAGGAGGGAGGAACTGATACAACAGGATTCATATCGTCAGCAACTTTAGCAGCAGATTCATTATTTGGAAAAGTTAAAACAATTGCTCATTATGATGAAGCAGCGGCTGTATCAAGTGCTGTAAAAGTGAGCTTTTCACCTTTTTTTTCTTTTCTTGTTGGAGTCTTTCAAAAGATTTTGTAGGTTCTACGTTTATTTCTTCAAGATTGTATTCGAGACATCCATTTAAAAGGAAATAAGATTGCTGATCAGGTTGTTATGAATCTCTACAGGTTGGCTTTCTAGTCTACTTCTTTGATTAACGGGCCTTGAAGGCTTGATAAACAGAAGAGCTATTAGTGTTTTTACTGGTAAAGTCATTTGCTGTTGAATGAAACGTTTGATGGGGTAGTTTCTTATAAAGTTCTCCCTCTGCTGCAGTAGTTTAAATTTTGATAAAGCTTTCAAGTTTTCAGGTGGTTAAGTACACCGCAGTCGCTTCTGTACGACCCAGCTATTACGCGTGCAGTGGATATACTAATTTCAAAACTATGTTTACTTCTGGTTGCGGAAGTTAGTTGCTGTATAAAGGCCAACCTGTATAATTACTTGAGTAAAAATACAAGATAAAGATCCTAAACCTAACGACATCATTTTCAGATCAACAGACTTGGCGGGAAAGTACTATACGCGTCTAGCTCCCGCCTTATCGTTTCAACTCAGAGACGGGAAATGGAGCAGGGTTGTGCATTTGTTTGTGGTTTTATACAATCGTTACAAAAGAATCCATTATTCGCATCACTTCATATAGCCCCAGTGAGATACTGGAATATTTTTCTCTGGTTGGATGCTGTTAGTTCCTTCTACATACTTTCTTCTTCTAGTTCTGTGTTAGCTAACTTTCTGTCTTAATATACTTCAGAAATTAGATTACTGTGGAATAGAATACCTCTTCATAAAAATCAAGAGTCCTTTTTTTTTTGTCTTCTCAAACTTTAGGATTTTGTGGCTGCTGTTTTTTGTGGGAATATTTGTGCTGTGGGTGTTGCAGAAGAATTACGCGGGTATTGAGTTTGGTAAGGGGGACGAACCTGATCGCCCTACCGTGGATATGTTGAGCATTGCAGAGATCTTCCCTGAAGAAATGGCTTGTCGTGAAACATTCTGTTTCGTTGTGCTCGGATATATGCAGCTGATTGCAAGGAAAATGAAATCAATGGTTTGGAATAAGACTTCAGAACGTCTAAATTTAAACAAATTCTAATAGAGTTCAAATGTAAAAGTTACTGGTTATCAGCTGGCAAGGCTGTAGTGAAGTATTCTTAATTTGTTGAAGGCGAGCGATGAAGAGCTCCTTGCACATCGTAAAGAGTTAGTCTCAACAGAATTAAGCGAGCGACTGTTCCGGATTTGCGCGAAACTTGTGAACGCTGGCCAGGCACTTGTTATGCCAAATTTAGTGTCGAGCAAATTGGAAGTGAATAACGTACCATTATGCTTTGCAAAAACACTTCTAAAGCTAATTTCGCTTGATACTGCCGTGTCTCTTGAAGTTGAGAAGGTGGGTTTTATCACACACTATGAAAGTTTAAAGGTGAGCATGTTCCTAATAAACTTTTTTTTTTTTGGTTTCAGTTACGGGGTCAGTTGTTTCGACTTGTTGGTGCTAGCGATGATGAGGTAGAAGCTGAATGGCATTCTCCCACGGCGTCTTGTACTATATCCCAAATCTTCTGCGCTTCATGTGGTCAAAGCAATGATTTAGAGGCTTGTCAGGAGGATGCTTGGGTTTGTGAAAACTGCAAAAACCCATATCCTAGTCAATTAGTAGAGGAGATTCTCTTGGAAAGAGTTAATCAGTTATTGTTGTCCTACACTTTACAAGATTTACGATGTGTGGCGTGTGGATCGGTAATTGTTTTTGCTCGCTTCTAGTGCAGTAATCCAGCTTAAACAAGGTAAAAGATTGATTTTTCAGACGAAACGCGACGCCCTGACTCAGTTTTGTGAATGTAGTGGATCGTACGAGAATATGATTACGGAAAGTGAGCTCAAATTCAACATTGAAGTGCTGTCACGTGTGGGAGAGCGTCACAATTTTGACCGTTTGATGGAAGTATGTGAGTGGGTCCTTATATAATAAACAATGCAGAATTTACACATCACAAATCACTGGTCTGGCTTTGGCTTGGAAGATCTCGTTTTATGTATGGAACTCGATTAAAATTTTTCTGTACAAACTTGGTAATCGAGTAAAGGAAAGGTTCAATGTTGTACTAGTGATCTTCCTTTGTTGGACATGAATTGTTTTTCTTGCTTTTGGCTGAGACTCAGAAATAAACCATTTTATAACCCAATCACCGTCTACTGACGATTCGTGCAGACGCCTTCCTCATTAGACCCCAGAAACGTGAATCACAGGAGTGAGTTCAAGAGAAGCGAGTAAATCTTGAAAAAAAGATAGAAAGTACCACTCAGATAACAGGAGACCTGCAGCGGTATGCCAACTACTTTTTTATCAGTTCTTTTCAACTGAAGTAAATTTCTTTAGCAACTGCCTGTAAGTTACCTAAGAAGTCGTTTCTCTTCCAAATAAGGTCTGGACGGTGCTGCAGTCTAGTGCAGTAATACTTCTGAACACAGAATGTGACTTTTTTACAGTTTTTAAAAACAACTTTTGTTTTGTATGCTTGGCTCGTGATAAGGAATGAAACGGTGACCAGATCGTAAGTAAGGGAGTGCCTACGCTATCACGCATCCACGGCAATATATGAGGGTGAAAATTAAAAAACAAGACAGCCACGAAAGGGACTACCACTTTCCCAAATCAAAGCCAGATTTTAGAACAGCAGTATATCAGGAAAAAATAGCTTTCAGATTCACTAAATCACTTAAAGTAATTTTTAATGCTTGCCCACTAAGTAGATTTTTTTTTGTTCAAGAAATTGTGTACGCACAAAGAGACCGGGTTATTTACAAGTACTTTTGCAAAATGGTACTGGTGAATTAAAATTCCGTGCCCATCCTAAGCTGAAACAATAATTACAAAGTGTGGGTTGATCTCGTCACGCAGTAGCATCGGATCTGACTGGTTTCTCGGAGTCAGCTGACATTTAGAATACAGTATGCTTTACTTTTGTCTTTGCATAGTAGCATTCCGCTGTTAAAGTTTTGCCTTTGTCCGTAAACCTATAATCGATTATCCCTTTTAAACGCAACCAAATGTTGACCTTCCGAGAAAGATCCAGAAATGCGATTTAATGAGGCATTCTATTTGCGCTGATCTACATGACAAACAAATTTAGTTTTAACGAGATGTCCACTTCGGCAGGCTATGTTTATGCTATGGGAAGGCACTTTCCCGTTTTTGCAGAGTTCTGCCGGCAACATTCTGATACGTTATTTTCTGTTTCTCGCTTAATGCATGTGGAATCCAGTTCGCGAGCATCCCATCTTTTGAACCAGTAAAAGCGGTTAACTCATGGGAACCACTTTAATTCACCGTCTTCTGCTTTAATCAGGGTTCCTAGCTACAACTATTTTTTGACATAAAGGTTTTATGGATGCCAACTTCAGTTTGACTGATTTTTCTTCACTAGTCGGATTTTAGCTTCTTCCCAGAATTTAGATAGTAGTAGCCTCTTCTACTCGCTGAAGTAGTACTTTGTAAGTGGTCCGTAAGGGAGCTAAAATCAGAATATCTTCCTTCCACATAGTTCCACATAACATACTCTTTAAAAAATTTCTCAAAAGTTTTTATTACTGACACTTGAAAAATATTCATCCTCTTGAAAATATCTGGTGAAAAAATTTCCTATACAAAATATTTTCAATCTGAATAAAAACTGAAACGAGAACCAGACCGATAAAATTACCGTATGTACCCGCGCAGACCTATAGATACTCTCCTTTAGTTGTACATTTTTCTTTACGTCTCAGTACTGCCGCAACCCATACCACCTGTTCCGCACTCAATTTGTAAAAACTACGGTGAAAACTTCTCTGCCATCTACAGAAGTTCAAAGTTTAATGAATTTTGTAAATGAAGCATAGCACCGCCTAAAGCGGAAGAAAATAAAGAAGAGGAGAAACAGTAGGCAATCTGATGAGGAAGCAATTACAGAACAGAACAGTTTATTCACCTGGAGGCATTGGCTGGTGCTAGCAAGACAGGTGAAAGGTAAAAAATAATGCTCTTTGAACAAAAACACTACGCAGTTCTGCGGAAAGTGAGAAGTTACTAGCCGGTATCGTCGACTGACAATTGTAATTGTCATCTGTTGGCAAAATTGCAATCAGAAATGCTGTACAAATAATTCAAAGGCGGATCCACCCCTAATTTGAAAATTTTTGCAAGCGAAAAATGCCTTATTCTCGAGAAGCTCCAGCGATTTTGGCTCAGCGCCACTGTATTATCCAGAAACAACCGGAGGTTATCCGATTGACCTCCATAAGAGTATGCTAAACTTCTGTGTTACATGTTTAAATATGTAATATCAATATCGAGGATGTTAAACTCTTTGTATTTTAAATTTCTACCTTTATAGTCCATTTTCTGTCGAGTTAATGGCAAAAATGTGACAGGATTCTTATTTTTAACACATGCTTTTTACTTATTTACTGCTTGCTAAATTTTGTAGAAATTTGGTTTCCTCGGTGAGTTATTAACAGAAATGTGTAACTGTGCTCATTTTTTTGGTTTACTGGTTTTGTTACTTTACGTGAAAGAATAACTTTGCTTTGTTCATCTTTTCATGGCTTTTTTTTTTCATTTTTGGGTACTCCCAAGTGCTTACCTGAACTTGTAAAGTCATTTCAAAAATTAAAAAATTTCGAAAAGTTTTTTTTAATAATGTACGTTTTAGATTGGGAAGTGGGTTTCAGTTGAGTACGGTTAGTGTATTTTTTCTGTCTAATGTGCAACTGAGGTTCATTTTTTTTAAAGTGTCACATGTTTTCTTAAAGTTTATTTCAACTCTTTTACTATCTACAAATGAAGAAAGACAAAGTCTGAATACAGCAACAAACAAGAGATTATCAGATAATACTGTTGCTAAATAAACATTATGACTTATTTTTGTTACACAAATAATAGGTTTTTCTTCAGGTAATAAGGTTTTTTATATTGAAATTTTTTTTTCTTTCAACTAGTTAGATTCTTTTTTTTTTTTAGTTATAAGTTTCTTTTATGTAAAAATAACAGTATGCCGAAAACACGAAGTTTCTGGTGTCGAGCGACTCCATAATTATTTAGGTTGTCTGACACCCCGTATCTTCCGTTGTCGTAGTTGTTGGGCAGGTGACCGTACAGTTCTGGCAGGAAACACCACATTGCGGCCTCTCCATTCGCTTTATTTTTCTTCCTAACTGTAGGGATTTCAATCCTTTCAGTCCTCCCCTTTTCCTTTTCGTAATAAACTAGTCGGATCTAGAATATATTTCTGCTTTTTCTCCTCGTCATTACTTCCAATTTTAGTTCAATATCCGCTAATTATGGATTACAGTATAAGGTACACAGACACTTAACAAATTTATTGCAGTAACTCTTAATAAAGGTATAGGTAAAAAACTGAAATTACTCTCACATTTTAGCTAAACTCTCGGCTAAAGATGGAAATGAAATCGTGAAGTCGTAGACACAAACAGCTAAAACCTAACAAATAGCTGCCACATCATTTACACAAGTTACTTAGAAGTTTAGCATACTTTTCCGAAGTTCACCCGGATCAGCTCCGGTTGTCTCCTCATTGCACAGTGGCAATGTGCCAAGGCCGCTGGAATTTATCCATAATGAACGATGTTTCGCTCCCAAAAAATTCCATATCAAATTGGAATTATAGATATATTTTTTTAATTGTGGTATGCAGCATTAATTTTGTACGTCGTTATTTTGCTTTAACAACAGCTCGTTGTTAAGGTGCTTAAAAACTGAGAGAGATATGCCATTGAAGTGATAATGGGTTAAGAACAATAACTTTTATCTGTGTGTAAAGCAATATTTGAGCAAGATTTATGAAAAAATTTTGAATTTGGAGGTTTTCTACCGGTAAACTAACTGATTTTATAAGTTTTTTCCAAAACTTATAAAATTAGTTAGTTTACAGGTAGAAAGTTACCGTGTAACTTTCAAAATTTCTTTCATACCCAGTTCACTTCATGGCTTACTTATTCAAAATGGCAGAAAGTGTAAAAATTATTACGCTTTAACACACTGGACTTTTTAAGCTTGGATAGGCCTTCCAGCGACTGTTTGCTTTTGGGTTTTTTCCATTGAGTATTGACAAACGATTAGAGAGAGTAAGGGAGTTTTGAGACTGGTGGTAGAATGCGGAATATTAGCGTAGCAATTTGCTCGCTTTCTGAAATTCTCACTTGTAAAGTGTTTGTGACAGCATTAGTGACCGCTTTGCTAGTAACTTCTTATTCACTGTTGAACTGCATATTTTGCTTTCTTAACTTACCTTTATTGCTATTATTTTTGCATTTATTGATAATGTTTTTCCCCTCATAACCTTTTGTCTTATAGAACGGTTTGGATAAACAACATGATTTTCTTTTGCTGAGCTGAATATTTTTCTGCCATTTCAAGCAAGTCAGTTTGTTAGGAAATTTTGGTTGGTTATACAGTTAAATATTTCAAAGTTAACTGTTACGGTGTTATATTTATCAATAGGCTGGACAGTACTGCGGCTGAAGTTTTGTTAACACTTAAAACTTATTACTTTAGCAGTATCTAGAGTTTTATTTTTGTTTTATTTATTTATTTATTTCTGATCTAATGTACTTGGGCAAAATGGTGTGATTTCTTTTTTTGTTTTCAGTTGATTGTAAGACAGTTGTTTTTGTGTGAATCAACAGGTAAAAATGTTTTGCACAGGAGGGCTGTTTGTAAAGGGAGATTTTATAGATAACCTGACTCTTCTAACTAAAGTAGTTTTGCTGAATAATTCTGATTTGTAATGAATTTATTTTTTCTTTTCAAATGATAATATGGTTAGAAATTTACATGGTTGTAAGGTTGTCATTTTACTGCTTCGAGGTGTGCTTTGTTGCAATAACGGTGCCAGATTTCTTGCTTGCAAATTAAGATATTTGTTTTAAAATGGCATTCGAGCAGCGTATAAGGTGGGGTTAGAAGAGTCAAGTTCTAACAAACATTTTTTTTTTTTTTAATTTATAACTAATTAGTTTCATCGTCGATACTGATTGGAACTTTTATGTTTTAAAAGTCATTTCATTTGTGCTATTGGAGGATGTTACGGGAATTGACTTTTTCATGCTACGTTTGACAGCTTTCAAAACTGTTTAGAGTAGGACCTTTTTACAGTGAATTTGGTCATTCAAAGCTGATTTGTAGAACTTTGTAAATTTAAACTAAAAATTATAAAAATACTGGAAATTACGCATATACCAGCGACAAAAAGTTCATCATTAGCTACTGATTGACGTAGTTTGCATCAGGAGGTCAGTCAAAATGAGTTTTTTATAAATATTTTATCGTTCGTAAAAGATAATCCGTGTCTTTTTACGTAATTCTTTTCGATTGTATTTTTTTTTTTTTTTTTGCGTAGTTTAATTTCTACTTCTAGCTTCTTCACTAACCATGTGTTTAACTTACTTATGACATATTTGAAACATGAGCGGAACATGAAAGCATGGCAAAAGTCGAATGATGAGGATGGTCAGCTGGTTGGAATAACGGTGCAAAGTCAGTTAACGAACCCCTTGAAAAAGACGTACTCCAGTCAAAGTCTTCTAGGCTATACATCAGCAAGTGAAGTTTGTTCTCCACATATATCATTAAACGATGGATCATTACTGTCGCAGAGCAACTGGTTGAGTAATGAAGCCAATGAATCTAGTCGATGGGAGCTGAGAACGCTTCAGAAAAAAGATATGGCTGTTGTAAAGGCTATTTGCCAAGAGTCGTTTCCTATTGATTATCCCCATTGTTGGTTCGAGGAAGTGCTTAGTGGCAACTTTATCAGTTATGGTATTACATACAATGGTAATTTAGTGGCCCTTCTAGTTGCTGATCTCAAATTGCTGAATCAGTTTAATCCAGAGGTATGCAAAAACTTTTTGATACATTACTGCTTTGAAGTGAGTTTCTCACGTTTTTATTGTTTTGAGTGATTATTTTCAGTAGGCCTTTGAAGTCTTGGTAGGTAGATTTTAGCATGTGGGTTTTTATCGGATGCTATAATTTTTTAATTCTTATTTTTTAGGACAAAGATCTTTTGTCTAATAATTTTTTGCCTGTGGTGTATATTCTGAGTCTTGCTGTAAGGAAGGAGTTTCGTCGTCGTGGTTTGGCATCAAAACTTTTAAAACATTTGTTTGCAACAGTTGTGAAACAGCCACCCTATCCAAGTGCCGTTTATCTGCATGTACTTTCAACTAACACCGGTGCGATAAGTTTTTACAAGAAAAATGGTTTTCGGCATCACTCCACACTTCTGTAAGTTTCGTTTTGGATTTCTTTGGTGGCGCAAAAAATAAGTTTTTTGATTTTTAAAACAATTCTTGGCTATTATGCAACAGTTCCTTTTTGGTAATCTCACTAGTTTTATTTAGGAACCTGATGTTAATTGACATGGTATCAGCAGTCATTTTATTCTGTTTTCTTATCATACTTTCTTACCTTTTTTAAGCGGGAAGGGTCTGATTTAAAAACCTTGTTCTTAGGTCGACCTAACATTTTTTTAATTTCTTTAGTTTAAGCTTTTTGTTACGTTAGTCTTTAAGATTTTCAAAGTTTTTGACAACAGTTGCATGGTGATCTTTCAGTTTCATTTTAGCTTATTTTATTGTAGTATTTTGGAGCGACAGTTGGGCAACAGAGGTAAATATCGCTGTTTAGAAGCTTAAGGATCTTTTCTATCACAATATTTCAAGGAGGACTTATTAGAAAGTTCACTTCTTAGTCGATTTAAGTTGGTTAATACCGTATCTCTTTGATTAATAAGTAACTGACCACTGTGGGACTGAAGGGCTGTAATTCTTTGAGTGAAATACTAGAAAAACTAGAAGGAAATTTTTTCAAGCTTTCTATAGGAGGACTTACGCAAGGCTCACAAAGTTTTTGTCGTGGACTTTGCGGAGCCTTCCTTATGGATCTGCTGAGTCCAAAGGGTTTGAATATTTCATCGGGGCAAAAATATTAGAAGGACAAAGAAATTTATAGGGGCGAGGAGGGGGGGTGGGTATGGGAAGAGGATAGAAGCAAACTGATGGGCATTGCAACTAGCAGAAATTTTTCGAAGGTTTCATCCTTATCTCTCCTCAGTTTGCTCTTTTTTGCCCTACTTGTTTAATTATCCAGAAACTTGTATCACCAAAAAAAAATCTTTCTAATTAGTATGAATAATTCCACATACTTAGTTAGGGGTCAGGTGTTTACAAATTCTTTCTGTAAGTGGAAATTAGCTTCATTCCCTGTTAACTGAAATCGTGCCTGATACTGGTATGAGTCAAAAGTTGAATTATTTTTGCTAAATTAGCTAGAAGCAAAAAATTTTGTTTTCAAAGGGTTTTTGACAATAATTTCTGTAGAAAAGTAGATTTATTTAATTGATATTATTTTGTCTAGAAACTATTACCGAATCAATGAGACGTACAGTGACGGCATGGCCTTCGTTTTGTATACCAATGGCGCCAAACCTCCGTGGTCTTTCTATGAGTTTTGCAGTGTGGCTAGCGCATTTATATGTTTTCCATTTCGGCTTCTGTTCAAAATGCGATTTTTGTTTCGGTTTTAAACCACTAGTCATTTACAGTGTCTTCTTTAAGTTTCAAATAGGTGTCGTACTGCTAGTGAAAATCTGCCATTATATCTTGTTTTGTCTTATTTATTGGAATTTCTAACCCTTTGATAACATTGGCTTTACTTTGCTAAGTGTCATATTTTTGGGAGGACATGAGTTTGCAGTTTCTCAGCTTTTATTTGAATCTCCCTTAGCTGCCTTACTATTGCTGCTCTTGTATTGGTTATCATACGCATCAGTAAGGTTGCCAATCTGTTACCGTTCTGATACGGCTGGGCTCTTTTGGAATCTGTTAACATGTTGTTAAATTACTTTTGGCTTGTATAAGATGGCGCCCATTAGAAACGGCATTTTGTACGAGAAAATTTGTAGGAGCAGAGGAAAAAGATTTTGAAATACAAAACTGTTCGATCTCTACAAGTTGTTTTTATTTTTGTTACTCACATCAGCTTTGTTTTTATAGTGCAGGTTATGCTTAGCTTTCTTCTTTTATTAAGTAAGCTAACATAGGCAGTGTGTGGAACGGTGATCTATAAAGATTTTGACTTGCTGTATGCAACACTTACAGAGATGAGGGAATCGGACCAATGTTCAGATTCTTTTATTCCTTTTTGCTTGATTTTTAAACTTTAAAATCTGTTTGAAGTTGAATTTTCTTTGGATTGGTACTTTGGTTGCGGTTCCCTGTGGGTTCTTCCAAACAAAATTTATTTCAGGAAGTCGGGTATTATTAGCAGGTTACAACAATTCAACCTTTGTAGCAAGACTGTATAGGCTGTAAGAGGGTTTTAAGTTTTGAGGTCGGTGGCAGAAAGTGAGGAGTTATGTTCGCCATCTGTTATTACGTTGTTTTTAACGAAAAGACAGTGGATGACTGCGTAATATGGTTGATGATGGTAGATTTGCCGCTTATTTTTTTCGAACTCCAAATAGTTGGCTTGGTGCTTGTTCATATTCTTTTCTAATACATGAATAAGGTTTGTGGTGAGGCTATTTCAGGCGTGGATTTCTGAGTGCTTCCGCATCTTGGTTTTCGATTAGTATTTTACGCAAGTGGGGTTCAGTTAAAGAAAAATGTTTTGGTTGTAAAAGTGTTACTTGAGATTGGTTTGAGCCTGTCTATCGTTACTTGCACACTAGTTAATTTGAAGCTTCAATTTGGAGTCAAAATTTTTGGTGGGAAGTGAGGAGTGACGCTTTAATTTGGCTAAGGAATTTGTCAGTGTTTTGAGTTGTGCTGATTTGCAGCTTTCAACAGATTTCGCTAAATGCGAATGTCAACATGTTGAGACCATATAAAGGTATCTGCAAGATGTGTTTGAATAAATGTTGTAGATGGTACTGACAAGGTGGAATGATCTTCTGTTGAGTTCTCACGGAAAAAAG